TGGCGGTCAGTTTCAGCAGCGGCTGAATCTGGACGCCAGTTCCGACTTACATACAGATTCAACTTAAGAACAAACCTACAGTCCCTATCTTGTACTTAACCCGGGGACTGCCTGTACTAAAACGCATATCAATAGAAGACCATTCTATTGACTACTTTTTTATCGTGGCTCCTACTCGTGGGCTACTTGTTGAGCCCCATATAAATCCAAACCGCACCATGGGCCGCAAACAAACAGGTTGTGAGCCACATGTTAAGTAGCCCTGGTTTAGAGTGTGGAATGAAGCAGGCTCAGGTTCTGGGTAAGAGGAAGAGCATAGAAGCCAGCTGGAAGGGTAGCCCTGAGCCTTTGGGGCCATATCCAGGCAAGCTGGGGGCCATATTTGGCCTCTGGGCCTTAGGTTCCAAACCCCTGTCCTAGCTACATTGTTCTGGGCATTGGAAAAGGTGGCTTAAGAGCTGTCAAATCTCTCACTTGGGATTCCTCTAGGATAGGTTCCTCAGATAACCAAGCTAGCATTGCAGGGTGGACTGGAGCATAGCACCTGCAGTGGGATCAGGATCTGACCATGTTCAGAATATGATTACAAGGGAATTTAAAATGACATTTTGGCACCTTAAACAGAATGGTTTTAAAGCAGCCTTTCCTCTTCACAAATACCTTTATCTTGGGAGGCAGCAATTTGTCCCTCCTGTTTTCCTTCAGTGCTTTTTCCACCTCAAGGAACATTGATAAAATTAGAGGACCATAGCCTTGTACTAAGAATTGTTTGTGCATGGAATAAATGACACACTGAAGAGCTTTTCTAGAACTTCATAGACCTGCAGGCTGCTCACACAATAATAAATTCTCACCTTAGGTTCCTCAGAAGTATTCTTGCCCCCTGACCCTATCTTTGGTACGGCCATGTCTGAAAATGAAAACGTTCTTTGTGCTCAGCTTCAGTGTTTCCACTTACCTACCTTACGGCACCATGGTTTACACAGTTGGTATGCTGAAAACTGCTATGAGAAGTCTTCGTTCCTCTGCAAAAGGAGTAAGTTGTAATACAATGCAAATCATTTAATAAACTGTTTGTGCAGATGACTTATAAACATGCAGAGTTCTTAGTAGAGATCTGTGAATGGTCCTTCATGCCTCTTGTTCTATATCAGTGAATGTCAAACAGTTCCCTAAATTGCTTATTAAAGTGGGGGATTAACACGATTGGGTAATGATTGAAGAAGAAACTATTAAAGCATTTGAATGTAAAGAATTAAGTATGATTTTCATTCTAACACTATCCTTTATACCCTCTCTTAAGCTGTCTTTTTAGAGGAAGACCTCTGTTTCAAAATCTTTTCACATGGTATTGAAGATGAATGGGGTATTAGTGGCCCTTTTTGAGAGGAAAAGTTAGATGATTTTGAGCTGTTGTTGAAGTCTGATCCTATTTCCTTTTCAACAAAGTAAGACTAGCTCACTTAGGCAGGAAAAAAATAACTTTTGTCTCTGGTATCTTCTGCTGCTTACACTGTAGGTCTGAGAAATTGCAGACACTGAATGTGGCCTTCGCTGCTATTCCTGAGACCTGCCAAACTTCTAACATTTTATTGTTTTAAGGCATTGCTTCTAGTTTACGTTTCGGCTCGCTAGCTCTCAGCACAGTGTTGTAAAGGCTGAAGCTGTCTTATCAGCTTAGGTAGACTCAGGAAGAGAAAGCTAGGAAAGAAGAGGTGCATGTTGGGGAAGATTTATATCCTAGGTGATCAGAGTTGGTGGAGGTGATAATACAGCTGGTTTCCTCTCTGGTTTGGTCTGACTGAGATATCTTTCAGGATCAGTGCAAGGAAGGCCCAACAGTGGCATTTATGAATCCTAGGAGATGGCAGAATTAGAAGTCTGCTTGCCTGCTGTTTTTCAGTGACCCTAAGATTGGCAGCTACCTCCTATTAACATTGACCAAATAAAACACACTTTGGTGACTTCAATTATTAACACCCTCACCTCCCACACAAAAAAGTTGAATGTCTGGAATTTTTCAGCTTGCTGTTGTGCCAGCTCATGGCGTTAGCACAACCCTTGAGGATTCTTTTTCCACAGGTAGTTAGCAATTCAGTTTGTACTTTTCATCTCCAACTTGCTTAATTGTTATGCAATTTTACATAACAGGTTGAGTTGGACTCTGTTACTGTGGCAGGAAGAGCTACACATAAGATTTATTTTGGTGAATGTCAGTAAACATTTCTGTTCCAGGCCAGACCTGTGTTGATATCAAAGACAACATTGTTGATGAAGGCTACTATTTCACTCCAAAAGGGGATGACCCCTGCTTAAGCTGTACCTGTCACAATGGGGAACCAGAGATGTGTGTGGCAGCTCTGTGTGAACGGCCCCAAGGTTGTCAGCAATATCGCAAAGACCCAAAGGAGTGCTGCAAGTTTACATGTTTAGACCCAGGTGAGTGTTGAAACTGCATATTTTTGGCTAGTGATTTGGGATCTGATGCTCAATTTGATGGCATCCGTGTGTAATAAAGTGGCTTTGGAATTCTATTTCCCATCAATTGCTACATTCCATGGAAGGTTCAAGATATCGGTGGGCACAAGCCTCCTTACTTGGGTGTAGATTTGAAACACAGCAAAAGCCTGACTTACAAGAAAAGCAGGTTCCTACTTTGCTTGGTGCCGCAGATAGAGAAATGTCTCCTGTGGCCCTGTGCAACATACATGTGTAGGTCAGACGCAGCAGCTTGTCTTGTTGATTGGAATAGGGAGGCGGAAGTAAGGAAGTGGTGGGGACATGAGAGGAAAGCAGGGATAGGAAAGGAGGTGGACTTGATGACTGGTGGGTAGAATCTCTAGGATCCTGAAGGAAATGCAAGGTGGCTGGGAGGATTGGAAGCAGGGACCTGAAGTGGGAAGAGGGGGGCCTCTGGAGATGGGTGGCAGGCACAGACCCTAGAGTAGGGGGTGGCTGTGCAGGACTCTTGTGTGAAGTAGGGATGTTAGATGTTGTTTAATAATTGTTTAACCACATCAGATCTTACCGATTACACGATTATTGGATGGTCTTTGGGGCGGAACCAGCAGCCAGATCCCCTCCCCTCTTCCACAGAGACCCCTCACTCCCAGTCCACTCCTGCAGCCTCTCCCCTCACCAGACACCTATCCCCAGCCTGCTCCTGCCCCCACCCAGCTGGCCAAACACTTACCTCAACAGAGAGGAAGGTTGGTGAGCATAGCAAGCAGAGGGCATGATTCTGTAGCAGTTGGTCTTTATTTGTTTCAAGGACTTTCTGATGTTGGTTGGTGTTTCTGTATAGAAGGGAGTGTCAGTGGTATGAGTGTCATTCTTGCTTTATGGTGGAAAGTCTCTGATGATAAAATATTGATACCTACGATGACAATGAAAATAATTTGATTACTTGCCTGCAATGTGTGCATGTGCTCAGTCTGTCAAAACATGTAGACAGCATTCTGGTGAGTGGTGGTACATACTGCCATCATTGACTTCGTGGGAATGGGAAGGATAGGAGAAAGCAGGCAATTTAAAGAGGTTGGCTGGGGACGTGCTGTAGGGGAGGTGTACACACTCCCAGACGGCTTATTGTGTGACCACAAAGGTCCGTCCCCGCTCCTGTGGGGAGAACAGAAGAGTTCCTGTACATCCATGGTGGCCTCACCCCACTCCTGGAAGTGGGGCAGAAATAGCCTCTGTGCACCTGGGGCTAACAGCAGCCCCATTCCAGACTCGTTTCTGCCCGGGGCAGAACAGACTCCTGTCTAGCTGCGGTTGCAGCGGGCTGGCCCCAGCTGCAGTCCGATTGTGACTGTGGCTGCCTGGGTCAGACCCTGCAGTCTGGCCCTGATGTGGCAACAAGAGGGGCTGGCTGTACTCCCCGGTTTCACTCCTGCCATGGTGGGGGAGGGCAGAATCAGCCCCTGTACAGCTGTTGCAGCCCAGGGACCAGCCCCAATCTCCTGAGGGCTAGCTTCCCATCTACCACAGGAGGGGCTGGCAGCAACTTCATCTGGTCATGGCAGCCCAGCTCAGCCCTGCTCCTGCTGTGGCAGGGGTAGGAGGTAAGGTGGAATTGGCTGCAGTGATCCTGGCTTGGCCCCAGTACAGCCGCATCTAACTGGCTGTAGCAATCCAGTTCCAGACAGATAAGTTAGTCCCAGAACCCCCCCATCTCCCTTTCCCAGTCCCCTGCCTTGCCTCTTGCACCCCACCACCTTTGCCCCCTGTCCTGAGCCCCTCATACATCCCTGACCTATCACAACCTGCCCCATGTTGGGGAGAGTCTCAGAGCAGGAGGCATGCAATACAACTGTACTCCTGCATTCCCTGCTATGTCTCCAGCCCCCTGCCCTGACTCCTGCATCTCTCCAAATCTGTGCCCTAAGCCCTTCATACACCTCAAATCTAACTCCTGCATCCCCACAGTCCTAGCTCCCTGCCCCACCTCCTGCACCACCCACATCCTAACCTCCTTCCCTGAGCCCCTCATACACTCCAACCCTGACATCTGCACCCCTACACATCTCCAGCTCCATGCCCTGACTCTTGCATGTACCCATCCACCCACACTAGCCCTCTGCCCTGAGCCACCCAAACCCCACCCCTCACTTACATTTCTTACAGGTACAGTTGTATTGCGCATACACACACCCGCCCTGAGGCCCTCCCCAAGCAGGGGCAGGTTGTGATAGGACAGTACTTGGAAGAAATTTAGGTTTCTTTTACCCCTGGCTGAGGTAAATTTAAACCTGATTTTAAAAAAGAGATATGTCTGTATACCAACGCAAGAAGCTTAGACACAGAAATAGGTAATCTAGCAATGGAAGGACACTTTCTCAGAATCCTTACAACACTTTTGTGTAATTTATAAACCAGTGACTGTTTCAGTACTGAGTGAATTTGTTGAAAATTTATACATCTAGATCAGTGGTTCTTTGCCAGAGATGCATATACCCAGGGGCTGTGTCTACACTGCCACCCCTTTTCCAGAAAAGGGATGCAGATGAGACTTTTCTGGAAAAGGGGTGCAGTGTAGACACAGCCAAGGGGTTCACATAGGTTTCCCCAGGGTACGTTAATTTTTTTTGATATTTGCCTACTTTTAAAACAGGCTAGTTAAAAAGCATTAGCCAAGTCAGTACAAACTAAAATTTGATATAGAAAATGACCTTATAGTGTTCTCTATGTATGCTGGCCATCTGTCCCAGATTTTCCAGGACTGTCATGATTTTTAATGTCCTGTCCTGGTGTCCCCGTGCAGTAGTGAAATGTCCCAGAAAGCCCCGGGGCTCCAAATGCAGCTAGAAGTATGTGCACACCCCCTCCCTTGGCTGGAGGAATAGGAGCCTGGTGGGACACTTCCTGACACCTTTCCCTGCTACTGGGAATCCAGCCTATAGGAACAGGGGGAGGCGTTGCTCATTAGAGCATGCGAAAGCAAGTAAGTGGCTGAAGGGTGTGTGTGAAGAACCAGCATACTGTTCAGCTGGACGGGGGCGAGGGAGATGTGGTCAGTGCGCAGTTCATCTGGGCTGAGTGGGGGGTGGGTGCTGGGAACTGGTGCATAGTTCAGCACAGCATGAGGTTCAGCTGGACTGGGAGGGATGGATTTGCTGGGAACCTGCACATGGGCTGTGAGGCAAAGGCGTGGGCAACTGGTGCGTTGCTTGGCTTGGCTGGGGGGATGCAGGGAACCGATGCACCGCTCAGCTGGGCTGCAAGAGTGGTGAGGGGAAGGAAGGCCAGTGGGAGGGGGCAGGACAGCAAGGGGGCCTGAAATGACTCCCCCTGGTCTGGAAAAATCCCTCATCTGGGACCAGCCAGATCTCGAGGGTGTTGAATCAGGGAGGTCCAACTATTACCCCAAAACCCCTCCTGGCCAGACATCCTACCCCCAGTCCGCTCCTGCACCCTTCCTCCTGGCCAACTCTGCACCCTCCTTTCTGGCCAGACACCCTACCTGTAGTGCGCTCCTGACCCTTCCCTTTTGGCTAGATACATCCTGCTTCTGTATCCACCATTGCACCAGCACCCACCCTTTTGGCTACACACGGCACTCTCCCTTGCTCCTGCTTCCTTCCCCTGGCCAGACACCCTACTCCCAGCCTGCTTCTGCACCCCACCCAGATCCTGCACCCCATCCCTATCCCACTCATTGGCAGCCCTACCCCACACTGAACCCCTCCTTTTTGTCCCCACTCCAGGGTTTAAGGGGGTCCATAAAATCAACCAGAAAAGTAAATCTAACCAATGGGAAGCCCTGAACCTCAGTCCTTCCAGTCTTTTTCCCTCGCCCCGAAGGGCTAGAACACCAGAGGAGTGAGGTGTCTCAATTGGGGGCCACTTTGAGCATTGGGGGTTTTGGGAGGAATTTTTTTGCTTTTCACTTGTGGGGTCCCCAACTGATTTTTCTGTGGGTAAGTGGCTCCCGACCCAAAAAAGGTTGCCTATCCCTGCTATAAATACAAAAAAAAAAAAAAAAATTGAAACCTTTTT